TGGCTCCATCTGGCCCAAGCATCTCATTACTTGATGCAAAGTGGAAGGAACACCTTGAACTCTGTGGATCCACCCTCTGCCCATCAGAAGGTTGTAAGAGGGATGAATCTCGACAACTACAAAGGTCTCCATTAGAACCCTCTCTGCAGCATGTACTGCTACCTCTACCGTACCGACGGGCTCCACTCGTTTTCCATCAATCCCTAGCAGAGGATTTCCAGTGGGCTTGAGCCGATGCGGCTTGATCTCGAGCCGATCAAATGTGTCCCTCGGCATGACGTTCGCACTACTTCCTGGATCAATCAGAACTCTGCGTACTAAACATTCGGCTACTGTCAAACTGACGACCAACGGGTCCTCATGAGGGATCTGAACACGCAATAGATCTGTTCTGTCAAACTTTATCTGTGTTGATGCGCTCTGTTGGTGCAAAGTGTTGACACTGCCTATCCTCCTCTTCATCCGTGCCTGGCGAAGGCGTATTCGAAACAGTTCATCTGACTCCTCAGTAGGCTCAGGCCGACCGTGAATTGCATTAATTATTCGAACTGGTTGCGTATTGTGAGAGTTCGACTTCTGATTCCTCTTCACGTGCTCCATTGGTCGGTTCTGTTCCACCGCCGGGCCTTGAATATAACTTGCGAACTCCCCTCTGGCTATCAGCATCTCTACCTGTCTCCTTAAGTTCCTGCATTCACTAGTCTGATGGCCAAAGTCAGAATGAAATACACAATGCTTAGACTGATCCCTCCGTTCGAGGGGTTGTCTGATTGGTAAAGGAGATCGGAACTTGTCTTTATTTTCTTGGTACAGCCTTGCTAAGGTGACTTTCAATGGAGTAACCAGCTCTTCCTCCCTGGGCCTCTTCTCAGATTTCCACGAGGTCTGACGCTGTGGCTGAACCTGCTTTTGTTTGATCTTTGCTTTGGTTTTCTCCTCTGTTGATATGACGGATGTCTTCTGAGCGTTAGCTGCCTCTTCTTCTTCCAAACGCACAAATCCATCAGCTCTTTCATTAAGTTCATCCATAGTCTTCGGCGTATTCACTACCAAGCTTGTGTGGAATGGAGTGCCACGAGTCATGGCCAGTATAAACGCTTGAACCGCCGTAGAAGGATGACATTCAATCACCATACTCTTAGTAAGGTTAAACCTAGTTAGGAAAGCTTGGAGACGCTCATCCTCATGCTGCTTCATTGTGAATAGGCTCGAAATGTCCTTTGCTGGATGCTTATTTCCATAATATTGGCTTATGAACCGATCACACAAGCTTCGGAAACTATCCACTGAGCCCTTCGGCAGGTTCTTGAACCAATTGAGCGCTGGTCCAGCTAGACTTGTAGGGAAGCACTTGCACATCAAGGAATCATTCTCATTGTTCAGAGCCATTTTCAACTGGATGTGATAAACATGATCAATCGGATCGGTCGTTCCGTCGAACAGAATGAAAACAGGCATGGAAAATTTCCTCGGACTCGGAGCATTCAGAATTTCATCGGTGAACGGTGAATCAACCGTTCGAGCTGCTGAACGGAGGGCTTCATTGTCCCTCTAGAACCCTGCGATTGCTCTTTGATCTACGGATCTCCTCTCTGAGCTGCGATAGTCGAATGTCGCCATGGAAGGCCGATAAGTCGGATCGAATGATCTGTCCTCAATAAACTCTTTGTGCCACGGCGGTATAGCTTTGTGACGATCAAACTCCATTGCTTCTCCTCGGCTGAGCGTTTCTTGATGTGGATCGAAAGTCATGGCTTCGTTTCGCCTAATCTGTTCACGCTGTGGATCCACGTGAGTTGATCCTTCACGATCATCAACACGACGAGAATTTGGCGGCAAATCGTTTGGCCGGACCTCCTCGCGGTGAAGATCTGTCTGATTGTTCCATAGTTGTTAAAGGCTCAAGGCGCACAAAAGCGCAAATGCTTCTTGGAGCCTGAGGCGCAAGGCGCAAGGCGCAAGGCGAGGCGCGCGCTCGACTGAAGCAAGGTGCACGTTGAAAAAAAAAAAAACAAAAACCACCTAATAAAGTATTAGAGATGCAATAGTATATATAAAGATGCAAAAGTGAACTATATGAATTACTTAAGTTCAATATTCAACATAAAGATGTCAAAGCCAACTAAATCAAGTACTTAAGTTCAAAAGTGAATAATCAAACATATTAAATTTGATGTTAATAAATTTGACTTCAATTTGGTGTTAAGTTGTTAACTGGACAACTTCTTCTCTCGATCAGTCTATCTCTCTGTATTTGGTATTTTGGTGTTATGTAAATTCTGTATATATTAGAAGCTTTGTATTCCTCTGCAAATTTTACAAGAAAATCAATTAAATACCTTCTGATTTCAATAATTTTTTTTTTTTTTGGGTGACCAAGAAAAAGAATTACATTCTATCTGTCACATACAGGTTACAACAATCCAAAAAAAAATAAAAAATAAAATAACAAGTTTAGCAACTGTTATTTTAAGATTAAAATAGCAACATAATAAATCTGTCACAGTCCAGAGTCTCTACTCTCCTTTCACCAGCCCCTTCATCAATTCCATCCATATATAACAATTTCTTTTCATAAAAAAAAAAAAAAAAAAAAAAAAAACAAACAAACAAACAAACATGTGATCTTAATTGGTCATCAATTCCCAAATAAAAGAAAACTTAATATATGAATTAATCTATAAAAATGAGGAGAGCATCAAAAAGCAAAAAGTTTCTTTGATTAGAGTCCAGACTCAAGAAAAAAAATAAAATAAAAAAATAGAGAAAAAAAGAGAAGAAGAATAAAAAAAAAAAACTGGCAAACTCGACTCGGCAGTCGGCCCAGAGAAGAAAAGAAGAAGAAAAGAAAAAAAAAAAAAAAAAACTGAGACAGATCACAGATCCGAGAAGAGAAGGAGGAGAGAAGAAGAAGAGAGGGAGGAGGAGAGAAGAAGAAGAGAAGAAGAAGAGAGAGAAGGAGAAGTTAGAGAACTTACCGGCAGAGTCGCCGACGGTGCAGATCCGGCAGATCCGACGCAGATCCGAGATCCGAGAGGAGTGAGGACCGAGACCGAGAGTAACTGTTGTCCAAGTCGTCGCCTCTGTGACCTCTGTCTTCGACATTTCTTTGTTTTGGTGTTTGGTCTCCTTTTTTTTTGTTTTTTTAATGTGGTAACAATGTAACTTAACAAAAGTAATATAATAGAAACAATAAAATAATATAACAGAATCAATAAAGTCAATAAACAAACAAAAGTCACAAAACCAATAGAAGAAAACAGTTAAAATATTACAACTTCCATCAGGCGCGCCTTTAGATTGCCTTTAGCCTTGCGCCTGTACAGGAAAGGCGCTCGCCTTATGCAACCCATGTGCCTTAAGGTGCTAGAGGCGCTGAGATGGCGCCTGGAGGTGCCTTGCGCCTCAGGCGCCTTTGACAACTATGGATTGTTCCCTACCTCCTCGCCGTGATGTGCCGCATCGGTACGTGCAACTTCTTCTCCTGCCGGGAGCGGTCGCGGAATCACCGGAACTTCTTGACGCTGCATTTCAGTCCTTAGATCTGCATTCTCTCTCCCGAGAGCTTCGATCATACTCATCAACTCATCGAGTTTCATCTGCTGGACATTCTTTACCGTATTGGAGTTCTCACCCCCAGTCATCATTCCAGAACGGAGCAAAGGCATGAATCGTAAATTCTAAGTTAGATCTGAGTCTCGCTGACGCGAATCACGTCAGATCTGAACTCAAATTTTACTAGTTTTGTTCTCCCTTCGATAGATCAGAGCTTTTCCGGCGTCTGAGCTTGCTGGATTGAACCGCGATAGAGTGAATCACAGTTGCGTAAGCCTAACGCCAATTTCTCAGAATCAATCAAGAATCAAGAATCTCTCAAGAGCAAATCGCAATCTCTCAAATCTGGATTAAACTTCTAGAAATCAAGCTTCATTGTCACCAATCAGTCTGAATCAACACGACGTTGATCAAACAAGAATCAACCTCCAACGTTTCCCACAGACGGCGCCAATTGAAGATGCAAAGAATTTTCTCTCTATCTTTGGGCAGAGTTTCATTACATTCTCCATTCAGAATCCCCTTTTTACTCTCTTCACTGCCCTTTTATAGGCAATTACAAATGCTGCTGGACTATCAGTTTTGGGCCTTCTTTCCAATGGGCTTGGTCTTCTTCGGTGGATCCTCCGAGCTCGGCCATTCTGTGGTGCTCTTGCATGGGCTGTATTTAAATTGTTTGCCCCGATGCCACGTCCGCGGACTATAACCGGCCCATATCACTTAATGTATCCTCAGGTACTCACACACACATGCCTCCACGGAGGCTCGAACCCCTGACCTCTCTTTGAGAAGTAGGGGCTTGGTACTGCTAAGCCACTATTAATCAAGTTTATGGAGCTGTCGAGTTTCTGTCTCCACCTCAGGCCCCCGCTTAAAATTTCCACAGAAGTATCTTTTCATTTTCTGCAACCTTGCATATGCCTGCAAAAATATAAAAACTTAAGTCTTGATTGAACAAAGAATAGTTGTACTTTCTGTTGAGTTTCTGCCCTCGAAGTGCATTGATGAATTTTTCCACACCATTCTAAAAATTATTGCTGGCCTTGATAAAATTTAATGACCATATGAACGTTGAATTTTGATATTTTGTTCATTGCCAACTACTCCAAAAGTTTAGGTTGTTAGAGATGGTGTAATTTAAGTATTTATAACATTAACAGCTTCAACCAAACTCCAGTAAAAGCAGTCCCCCTATAATTAATTGATCGTCCACTGGAGTAATAGTCATATCATGGCTCAAAATTCAAATATGCCCATGCAGTTCCCATGTCACTTTGATTACACGGAGATGTCATTGGCAAGCACAGAGGTTAAGTAGCCAACCAAAATCCTATTACACAGATTACTAGTGTAGTTTTGTTAAATAGTTGCTTTGACGTCTTGATGTTATGAAGTATATATATTTGGTAAAGTTACTTCCGCTCTGATATTTTTGATTTGCACAGAGCAAATTTGGAAACAATCCAGCCTCAGTTTTCAAGTGGCCATTCAGCTAAATCAACTTCCAATTTGACAGACGACCCTTTTGTAGTCTTAGAATCATCTTCGTCCCAGTCAGATACTTCCGGGCTGCTTTCAGACCTGTTGGGAGAAGATAAGGGAAAGAACTCGGTTCGGTCTTCAATTGATGAGCTTGAGGATTTTGCCATGGGTAGGGGGTGGAGTAATGTAAAAGAGCGATCAGATGTTCATTCTGGTGATGTGAAGGTGAAGACCTCAGATGCTGCTATGAAGGAGGCAATAGATAGAGTGAGGGCAGTAAGGGGAAAACGAAGTGGAGATGTTGGTACAAGTAAAAAAGTTTCCTGGGAAAAAAAGGATGCTACTGCATCGGATGATGCACACAAGAGACAACTTAAAGCGGAGCAGGAAAGATTATACCGTAAACAAAGAGAAAAGGAAGTGAAAGAGAGAGAAAAGAGGGGATCACCTGAGAGTGACAATAATTTTGACTCCTTTTTCAATATGGGTACTCATGCAAGCAGTTCGCCGGAGCCAAGGGCTACTGTTGTGGTGAGGACCTACAGCTATTAAATGTTCTTCCATTTTTTTGGGGAGTTGGTTGAAATCAGCTGATTAAGGCTATTGCTTTGTGGCTCTATGTTTCAGGACCCAGTGTTTGATACTCTGTTCCCAAGCAGAGGGCCTGAACTACAGCAGACTTCTTCTGGGACATCATATGGCACAAAGAAGGCTTCATCCATGACAAATACTGTTGATGACTTTTCTTTCATGTTTGGAGGTAACATTGTTGAAATGCATCTCACAATGTAAGTTTGCATCTATTCATTCGGGGAATCATCTCTCTTGATACTAATTGATTTTTTTGTTTGTTTGCAGAATTTACCCCTTCATCTGGAGAGTTTCAGGAAGTTGAAGGGGAAAGTGAAGAAAGACGAAGAGCAAGATTAAACCATCATCGGAGGACTCAGGCTCGTATGGTATGTGTTCTTTTATTTTTTATTTATGTTTACCTTATTTCATTTTATAGTTGGTTGTTTTCTTTGACTCGGAGTAACTAATTTTGCATTCCTGGATGGAATACCACTTTATTTATTCTAATTTTGATTTATGGTGAAGAAAATTTCATTGAATTAGAGGAGAAAAAGAAATTTTCGTATGGAAGGTATGCACACAAAATAAAAGATTGGTATACAAGCCAAAATGAAATAATAATGATCAATTTGGTACGAGCTGCCAAGGACAAAAAAGAATTGTACGAGCTTGCTATAATAATTGTGAATTTGCTATAATTCCATAGTGAACAAACTCTTACAGAAGACTGCCAAAAAAAGTTGGAGTTCCTTGACCTTTATTACTTTTGTATCTCTTAAATATTAACTATCAAACCTTGAGTTTGTTACATATTTCATTAGGATGTGAGTTAGTAAGCATTTCAAACCTATATTTCTTTGGTCATAGAGGTTTAACTGCATTGCCTGAGATGAGATTATACTGCACAAAATCAATACTAAAAACCATCTACTACTTGTGAATTGATTATTATATAAAAACGATTTTACAATTTTAGGTTTGTATGTTCAGGCAGATGCATTGGCTGAAAAGAATCAGCGTGACCTTCAGACTCAGCAGGAGCAAGAAGAGAGACATGTAAGTAAACATGGTGCTTAACTAGAGTTATGTATTCTTAAGGGCTGAGTAGATCCTTTCTCCAAAATGTGCATTGTTGAAGTCTGTAAAAAAGTCATTGCTCGATAACGAGCAAGGACTATACCGAGGGTGGTCTTTGGGCTTACTTGTATGACGTGTTTCTCTCTGTCTCTCTCTATCTCTTTATTAACTTATATCTGCTTAAAGTTTCTGTAGTTAATTTTCGTTTAACTTGCATGATTTCAGAGAATTGCTGAGATTATGGATGATGATATAAAACGCTGGGCCGCAGGGAAAGAAGGCAATTTGCGAGCACTGTTATCTTCATTGCAATATGTGGGTTCTGTTCTTGATCCTTATCTTTTATCTTATATCATTTTGTGGTAGAAAATAAAATCAGATTTTCAGTAGATTACTTTCTTGCATCTTCATGATTAATCTCTTTCTAATTTAGGATTCTAGACATTAAGTATAATAGAATGTTGTGATGCAATCAATATCCACTTAATAAGGGAACAGCAACTGATATAGAAACCTAAACCTTTCAGATAAGTCTTGTGAGATTAGGTGTCTAATTTTTTATTTTATTTTCCTTTCTTCTCTCTACCAAACTCGAAACCTTAACCTAGGGTTTGAGAGTTCAGACCCAAAGTCACTAGGACAAAGGTAGACCAGTGATTAGGTGTGTATTGCATTGTTATATTTTTGTAAGTCAATGCAGGTAGTATTGAAATTATTCAAAAAAAATAATTTTTTTTTTTTTTTGAAGTATCGAAAATTAAATATGTTTTGATTTACAATTTTCCCATGATTGCCTTGCAACCTTCTAAATAAAGTTATTTGTTTGATTGTTTTGGTTACTTTTTTAAAAATAATTATATTATAAATGAGATGAGAATTAGGCAGGTGGGAATCATTAGAATGGAATACGGTAGGAACACGTTGGAGATGACAATGATTAAAGTGGCAATGATAATTGATTTGATTTCATTTTGTGTATTTTCCTTAATTTATATATATTTTATTGTAAATATTTACAACGTTACATAATTTGTAGAACTCTAGTATACTATAGGCTGTATTGATCTTTTAGACTAGGTCACACTTTCTAGATGTTGTACATGGTTCATTTTATGAGTGTTGTTATTTTTTAATCTTTTTAACTTTTCATGATCTTTTAAGAACTTTTATGTGAATGGGTCAGATCGCAGGCCCATGGTTTAGCTACTGGCACACAGTGATTTTGAATCATCATGCTTGTCAATGACCTACATCAATACGTCACTTTTCTTTTGAAAATATCGAAACAATTCCAATGCTCTCATTTTAATTTGCATTTTTTAATTTTATGAGCATCAAAATCTTGATTTCCAGGGGTAATAAACTCATTATTATCTCATGAACACATTTTTTCAAAATAATTTAATAGCTTTGATTGCTGAGTAGTTTTAGAACTAATAGCTTCTTACCTTACAATTTCCACATATGAACTTTTATGAATTGAGTATGAAGTTGTTGAATATATTTAATCATAGAAACCACTCTCGAATTTATTTATTGTGATACCAACTAATCTTTTACATCTCTGAAATGATGTGCAGGTGCTATGGCCTGATTGTGGTTGGCAACCAATTTCGTTGACTGATTTGATTACTTCAGGCTCAGTTAAAAAGGTTTATTATAAGGCAACCTTGTGCGTCCATCCTGACAAGGTTCAACAAAAAGGCGCCAATCTTCAACAAAAATATATTGCAGAGAAAGTTTTCGATCTTCTTAAGGTACCTCACTAATATTGGATTTAAAATAATGATTTATTTACTCTACAACCTTCTGTCGCATTTAATTTTGCTTATAGTCTGATGAAGAAGAGGAGCTAGGGTTAAAATGTATTAGATATATTAAAGAAAATTTGTGGTTATTTCCTTATAGATCTCTGAAATTCATGGTTTTGGGGGCCAAAACATTCATTATTTATTAACCATCTTTAACTCTACACAAGATTGTCGCATTTCAATGTTGGTGGTTGGGAGCTTTAGGGGTTTCAAAGATTCAAAACTTGAATGTTCTATTATAGATTGAAATGCCTTTGGATTCCGAACACCCTGATATATATATATATATATATATTATAATAATAAGATTTCTGAATCCAAATTATGTGACCTATGATAATCTAAAATGGATCTTTCCTTCATGCCATGAGAAGAAATACAATATAGAACAAAGAGAAGAGAAATATGTAAAAGGTTTGAATGAGATTTAGTAATATGTAAAGGCTTGAATGAGATAAATCACTCATTCACAGCTTTAGTATTTATAGATAAAAAGAGCACATGCTCATATTACAAGAAAGGAAACTTTCCTAAATCAAATCATAGCATATTCTATGGCATATTCTATGGTATAATCAAATTTATGCTAATATGGTAAGTCATTTCATAAATCGTGGCTATCAAATATGCTAACACTCCTCCTCAAGTTGGTGCGTGGATATCTGAAACGCCTAACTTGGACATTGTGTTCTCAAACACAATCTTGCTAACGCCCTTTGTAAGAATGTTTGCAAGCTGCTGAGAGCTTGTGACAAATGGAGTGCAAATTTGACTAGTGATGATTTTCTCTCAGATGAAGTGCCAATCAACATATAAAAATGTCTCCTCATATCATAAACAATTAACAATGTATTTTCAAACCATAAACAACCAATTATGTTTCCTCAGACCGTAAACAACCAGCAATGGCAAAATCATGTAGATGGAAGAATCAACAATGTCTGACCATTTCCCTTCATACATATGTTTAAACAATGTAGATGAAAGAATCAACAATGTCTCTTCAAACCATAAAAAGAAATAACTATGTCTCCTCAGACCATTTCTGAATAGGTGGTGTCAAACTCGCAACACCCTTATTGAGGTCGGACCACCCTGCCTACCCGACACCTCCTGGATGGGTGATTTCACCTTAGACCATTTCCGAATGGGTGGTGCCGAACTCGCAATGCTCTCATTACAGTCGGACCACCCTGGCTTTGATACCAAGAAGAAATACAATATAGAACAAAGAGGAGAATTATATAAAAGGTTTGAATGAGATTTAATAATATGTAAAGGCTTGAATGAGATGAATCACTCATTCACAACTTTAATATTTATAGATAAAAAGAGCACATGCTCATATTACAAGAAAGGAACCTAAATCAAATCACAACATATTCTAAAGCATATTCTATTGCATAATCAAATCTCTGCTAATATGGTAAGTCATTTCATAAATCGTGGCTGTCATATATGCTAATACCATGTTTGTAAGGTTACAAGTACTGGCTGATAGCTTGATACCAAAATGGCATTGCCTAATATGTTATGATATATTATAATAATAAGATTTCTGAATCCAGATTATGCGACCTATGACCATCTAAAATGGATCTTTCCTTCATGCCATGTTTGTAAGGTTACAAGTACGGCTGATAGCTTGATACCAAAATGGCATTGCCTAATATGTTATGGCATTATTGGGCCTTGCTCGGATTGTTAAATTGATTCTTTAGGTTTAATTAAAGGCTATTCGTCATGTGCATTGCTCACTAAATATTCCAGTGTCTTCTACGCAGGATGCTTGAAGGGGAAAACTCGAGAGTCGAGACAGGCCTTTTGTATACATTTCGGGTTCGTGGTTTTGTTTCGGGTTAGAGGCGTCCCAACCTGACCTCAGCCCGAATGGGCTAGGGCTGGAAAAGTTTCAACCCGAATTCAACCCGAGTTTATGGGATAAGAAACCCGAGCCCGAAAATATCGGGTTGGGCTGGGCCAACCTGCCCAAGTTGCACCCCTACTTTTTAGTGATCCAATTGTTTTGTCTTGGGTACAAGTGTACAACAGCTTGAAGGGTCTAACGTCTTTTGCTGCAATTCTTAAAAGAAAGGATTTAGACCATCATATATCTTCCTTTAAGGAATGCCCCATTTTGCCTGCCAGCCTTTTTGCTTCCTTGTTATAGTAATAGTTATGATAAATTAAATATATTGTTTCATATAAAATAATTTTTTTCCCATACATAACACTGTTGTATCCTTCTAGTTCACAATCCTCACTAAGAAAATATTGAACCTCACTCTACAGCAAATAATCAGGACTGTTCTTCTCATTCCCCACGGGATATGACCGGATGGGCAACAGTGACCCCAACATTCAATATCTGTACTTAATAGCAACTTTATGTAGGACAACCTCGGAAAAATTGAGAATATGGTCCATTTTGTAAGGGAGGTGGTGGAAAATATATATTTAAGGGAAGATTTGAGTAGTGAGGAACGAAGGAGAAGTTTTTGAAGTAAGTTGGAGAGATGGAACTTAGTATATATGAGGAGAGATTTTTTTTTTGGCTAACTTGTAAGATCTATACAAGTGTTACTCCTGCTGAGAAATAAAAAACTCGTCCATTCATTTCATTTTGCACCATCCCTGAAAAGTAAGTTTCCTTGAGATTAAGTACTTCGAGGCTATAAAATTAAACTGCTAGCAGCAACACTTCACTGCAAATAAAAACTCCTAACATATCATAAATCTGGCTACCCAAAGAAACATACCATAAATTTTCAAAGCCATCAAATTCTCTAGTGATTCCTATTTTGAAATGAGAAATCAATTTCTACTTGGTTGCTTTTTGGTTTTTTTTTTTTTTTTTTTTGTCTTTTCTTTTCATTTCTTTTCTGTTTCATATATATCTTTTTCTTTTATATATCTGTTTCATAAAGAAACTTCTTTTTAGTAATAGTTGTCTCTCAATTAAAACTAGAAAAAGAAAAATTATATATATATATATATATATATAAATGCATTTAGTGGCCCAAATATGTATATGTATATATAAATTTTATAAGTAAAATTTCATCAAAACGCTCAAAGGGGAGTGCACCCAAGGAACAACTGCACAAAGGAAGCACTATACCGTACATTTGTAGAGGATTTTGTTTACTTTTTGGATTTTGTGACGGTTTAATGGCCCCAATATTAAAATGAAGCATGGCCACCACATATGATATTGGCATGCAAATGTTAGTTTTTGAACAAGATGGAGCTATTTTAAACTAAATATAGCTTCATCAAATCATGTTCAAGCAAGTATAGACAATAATATACAACTATAAGGATTAATTACACAATACACCATTGCAGTATGCAAAACGCCTCTCCTGTTTGAAAAACACCAGCAACCTAATGCTGTGTTCGGTAGGAAGGAAGGAAGAGGTGTGGAGAGAAAATAGGAAGAAAGAAACGAATTTCCATTGTTCGGGTGGAGATGATACAAGGAAAGAAAGGAGAATAGGAAATATGGGTCATCCTCCCTCCTGTACAAATTTTCATCCGCCCAAAATCGGGCGGAAGAAAGGAAGGAAGACAAGTGGACTATTACAGAAATTTTAAATACTATCCTAAATTATACAATTTTTAAATTACAATACTATCCTCTTAAATTATAATATTATAAATTCTATTGAATATAATGTTAAAAACAATTAAAACTCTCTCTTTCATTCTCTCTTAACGAATATGGTAAGTTATGAGTTTATTCTCTTCTCTTCTATCCAATCAAACAAAAAGAAGGAAATATGCAATCTCTTCCCTAGGGATGTCTCATCCATCCCTTCTTCTCTCCCTTCCATCTAATTTTTTTCTTTCCTACCGAATAGAGCATAAACATACGGTGAGATCAAGTGCCTACAGTCAGTTTGCTGTTAACGAAAATGTTACGTTACTATAATGCCCATGGAATAACAAAAGGAAAAAGTCTCGAGATTGAAATGACCAGGACACTCCTCACCGACACAATACACCCTTGTTCTCTGTTACTCTCACACCCTTGGTAAAAGACAGATTTGGGCCAAATAAGTTTAGATAAAGATGATTGTATCTCATGAACAGTTTGGCAACTTAATTCAAACTAAAATTTCAAAACAGAGAATAACAAAACCCAATAATATCCACTTGCTCTCTAAAAACTCCGAAATTTTTAGCAATTTTTAGTAATATGGGTTTTCAGAAAGAGATTACAACACTGAAGGTTAAAACTCGAAATATATATATAGCTAAGAAATGAGAGTTCAGATAGTAAACCTCAACATTCCCAAAAATTGGTAAACCAGATCAAACCATTCACTTGTTTATCAAAACTTGATTTTATATATATATATATATATATATATATATATATATATATATATATCTAAAAACTTAACCCCTAGGATTTGAAGGGTTTATACCCCCAACCACAAACATAGACAAAGAACTCAAAATAGTAAGCAAACCTTGGATGGTTGATCTGGGTCTCGAGAACGTTGAACCTGATAGGCTTCAAGTATCATCATCATCCTTGCCTTATGGGATTAAATGCACGCATATGGATAATGGATTGAAAGAAAGTAGTTACTACATAGAATAGAAGCCACTGCAGATAATGGATCTTGTCGCCAATGATAGTGAGAGGCGAGAAAGAGATTAGGCAATGGTAGACAAGTTTTAGGGGAAAAGAAGACATCTTTCCATATATGCTTTTTGAAAACCACAATTTTTTGTCGTACTTTTGACTGGTGTATTCTCCTAGAATTTTATGGGTTGCCCCTATAGAACTTTTTACAAGCAGAAGATTTGATGCTTTATAACAAGCAACATTGATGTTATAATTTCTATAAATCCCAGAATGTAAAAATGCCAATCTCCTCTCAAAATTTTTTATTTGAAACTGTCCACTAATTCTTGGATTATTATTTTTTGTCTGGAAAATGAATACTTTTTAGCTGAAAATAAACATTATTATTTCATCTTGTTGAGTCAGTTCCCAAAACAACCATAATCCTCCTTTTAAAGTGTTATGTCAGCTTCCAGAACTATTCTTTATTTCATTTGTGATTGTTTTCATTTTACTTTGTATATTAATACAGGAAGCTTGGAACAAATTCAATGCTGAGGAATTACGATGATTCTTTACTGTGAACTTTAGAGCCACTTCAATGAGCAACCACAAGACCTTTCTTTCATGGGGAAAGCTGTAGTCTCTTCAGCAGAATTGTTCCTTTGTAATTACTCAATTGCAGCGGGCTTAAAGATGCATCGTGTCATTTAATGAACTCTTATTTGCTTTGGAGATGCTTGAAACTAGAAATTGCTGTTGGCCCTGGACGCATGCGACTATTATGAGGTCTGTCTATATGTGCATTACTTGAGGTTAGTTGTAAAGAGTGTTGTCGACGTCAGTTCTCACGAACATGAAAAGTTTCATCAGCCACCCACTTGTTTTGGGTCAATGTTTCTGTAGTTTTCCAAGTGCTTGTTCTGTCGAGTGAGTATCATTTTGTTCATTTGTTGTGAAATATTTTTTCCCCATGAATTGTTGTGAAATTATATTTAAATGGATATATGATTGCCGGTTCAGGATGTTATTTATTGATTTGATTTTTAGATCTAATCTTTCTTTCACCATTGGGTGTTGCTTCCTGTGTGGTAATCTTATTTAATATGGATAATATGATTGCTGGTTCAGGAACTTGTTTCTGTAATTTTAGATTTAATTTATCTTTCCCGTTGTGTGGTAAACCTAATTTGACATTTTGCTGTGCAGCCTTTTCAAATAATGGTATGTACTATGTTTACAGTTGCTATGTGGTAATCACATCAAGTAGTGAGCAAAACTAGAATAATGATATTAGGGTTTTGAAATTAGTAGAGGTTGCATAGGTGGTGTTTGCAGCAAGGACCTGGTTTGCTTTTGTTGGCTGGCTTTAAAGGACCACAAAAAAATAGAAGATTTTCTTCTTGGAAGGTCTCTTGTTGAGACTACTTGGTCTATGTGGTGTGTCTGTGTGTGTGTTTTTTTTACCTTCCTGTAAAATGAGTTAACTTGTTACCATGTTTAATTTTATAGATCAGATCATATACTTGGGGTTACCTGGTTACAGGTGGTTTGGATACAGATCTAACATTTGACATTGAAGACTAAACATCTTGACTGTCATTGGTGGTTGATCGCCGAAAAAGACTAAACAATTCCCAATCATGGTCGTTGCAGATCGGATCATTCATATAAACCTATACAGAACGAAACTGCAGGTATTTGATATCTTTCTCTTCGGATAAGATCTTGGTAAACACTGTCTTCACCAAATTAAACTAGCAGAATAGCAATTTTTTGAATCAGATTTAGCATGATTTGCAACTAGTGTGTGTCTAAGGATTTTAAAAATAAATTTGTTTTAGAATTTCAGTATCTTCAATTTAAATATAAGATGCTTAATTTTGGTTATTAAAAAATGATTTAATTTAGTTGAAAATGTGCCTTGTTTGATAGAAGCTCTTGATCAAGGGCTTGACAGCACATAAGGGATGACACTCTCTGAGAAATTGTTTAACAATTAATTGTTTTTTTTTTTCTCCGAAAAAATTGAAATCCACAAAAGATTATTAAAAAATCCTGAGTAAAATAAGGAGATCTTTAGTTGATAATAGAAAGATCCAAATTTAAGGTAGAAAAAAACCTAAGACTAATAATATATTGATAGTTTTTTATACAAAAGTAAAAAGGCTACAATTATTTTGATAAAAATAAAAAGAAAGAAACCTTTTTTTTTAACAATCCTTTCTATCCTACTTTTTTCCATAATCCTGATGCACGTGAGTGCAAAACAAACAGATGTTTTGACTTTTCATCATGAGGTAACTCTACTACTGATTAAAAATAAGTTGTTGGAGGTAAACCTTTTTTTTTTTTTTTTTTCCTCCCTCTAACCCTATAATTACATCACGACATGGTCACACAATGATCATCAGTTGATTCGTGGTAATTAAGGTTTAGGTTTTTTTATATATTTATTTACTCTCAACTTCTGTCTCAATAAAAGTATCCGGTAATTTAACTTTTTAAGTAAATATTTTTTTATTATTTTTAAATTATATTAGTGGTGACTGAATTATCAATTTTATCTGGGTCCATAGTGATGTGATAGTTTATTTTTTTTTATTTTTTATTTCTTAATTATATTAGTGGTGAATGAATTATTAATTTTATTATAATAGTTTATACATATACCTCGATGGCACGGTTCGTGTCTGAAAAAAAAATAAAAATATTAAATTGATAATATTAAAAAAAATATTACATTGACTATTCAACTCATAAAAATAAAAAGGTGCCGGAGGGTATATTTCCTGTTGGAAGAGTTGGAAGCTATAGTAATATTCAATTAAAATTAATTTCAATTCATGTGAATTACCTAACCAATTTGTACCAGAAGATTAAGGTCAAATTGTGCTAATGATTCATGATAACTTAGTGAATTGTCTTTGCTATAATCATAAACTCGTTTGAAGTAAATTGTACTATAGCTCATCCTTTTCTTCCCCCCCTTGAATCTCGGAGATTCTTCTAATGTTCCATTATTCATAATTAATTCTAGACAAAAACAAGAGTGTGAGAGAGTGCATCTTACAGATTTTTCAAATTTTTCATTACTCATAATTAAATACATAGAGACAAAGACAAAGACAAAGACGAAGACGAATCCATTTTTCATTTTAACAAAACTGGAGATCCTCCTAGAAAGTCCATCACCAACCCACCGACCAGAAAAATAATACATCCTTCGAATTTCGAGTGTATTGCAGCTAAGAGAGGTTATTTCTTTTTACTCATAATTAATTTTAAGAAAAAAGAAGAGAGCGTGCGTATGAATCTTGTAAAATTTTCCCATTCTTCATCATTGACAAAGAAAATGATATATCCTCCAGACATGGACTCATGGTTGTATGAGTGGGGATGCATAGGTGCGAGTTCGTACCACATGACATCACTTCGACATTATATGATGGGGCCTACATCCACTAACATGAGCAAGTATCATACCCCGGGGTCATCCCAACCTTTGCATATGGTGGGACTCACCACCCCATCTTTGATCTAACGGCTCCCACTACCCGAGCACCATACCCTCAAAATATTTAATATTTTATCTGCTCTGTTTGGGCAGCAGAAGTGCACGAATAAGAAAGATCCAATGAAAGTCAACAAAGTAATCACACACAAACACAAGATATACATGATTCAGCCAAAACCGGCCTACGTCCATGGATGAGAAGAGATTCCACTGTGATAGGTAGATGTAATATGCGGGTTGATAGAGTAGGAAAAACACCAATGACACTGGTAGCGAGGAAATAAGCTTGTGGAGTGATACATGGTGAAAAAACATGTACGTAGTGTTGGTACTTTATTGTTGTAATATCTCTATGAACTCTTTTCATCTAATTGTTGAACTTTATTATTGTAATGTCTCTACGAACTCTTTTCATCTAATTGTTGAAAATTGTGTCTCAAATTTCTATTCTAATTAGGTTTTATTTTAGAGTTGTATTATATTAGAGAGATCTTATTTATTCGCATGCTTTCGCTGCCACCCAACAAATTGGTATCAGAGCCAAAGGTAAAGGAGATGCAGAAAACACAAGAAATCTTAACATGTGCTGTAATGGGCTTCAGTTGTTGGTGGAGTCAATCAACTTGGTTACATTGCATGGAATTCGAGTAGTCAAGTTGGATCCTTGAAAGTTTGACTGATCGAGTAATGTATAATGTGGACAATCGTAATTTTGCAAGAGTATTGACATGCTTGCATATCCATGTTCGACATCTCCAGAGGATGTATTATCACTCTAATCATAATTTAATCAAGAGAGAGAGAGCCCATTTCCATTTTAGCTTAAAAATGGAGATCTTCCTAGAAAGCCCATCACGAACCCACTTTCACTTTTCATTTTTCTAATTCTTCATTACTCAAATCCAATGTTATGACTGGGCGGCCCGGCCAACTGTGGGCCCTGAGCTCCACCACTGACGGCGGCTGCTGCCGCCGCCTCTTCATCACCACCCGAACACTTCCACTAACAATTAGATATACATTTATCTTTCGAAAAAATTGGACATGTACATTTAAACGTGCATGCATCATTATAAATATCATATATCTATATTTAATGACCAAGATCTCACAAGATAAAAAAACTCAAATTGAACTTCCCTTTTCCCTCTCCTTTCCACCAATTCAAACAAAACTAACCTAACACCATCTATATCCACATTGCCTATATTACCAATATTTTCTTCTTTGTAGCATGTGAATAATGTACATCATTTTCTAAAGGAAAGTGTTCACAACAGTTTCCACTTTATGATCATTTTATATGTTATATATATATATATAAATAATATTCAAACCTTTTTTACTTTTTAATTGTAATGATATTGTTTGTTGCTTTTGTAGTTTTTTATTACGCGTGGAATTGTGACAAAATTAGCTTCCAATTGTAATATGGGTCAATATTTTCAACATTTTTTTTTTTTTTGGCCTTTTTAATGGAATTGTGTCCCACACAATTTCAACGGTTCGTACACACAATATAGGGCATCATGAAATTGGAATACGAATGAGAAGAAATTTAGTTTAATTTCCAGTTTCAATTCAGTCATCTCAAACACAACATGACGAATCCTTAACATTCAGTACATTATGTATAAATTGACCATCATCAAGTTTGTGTGGACAGTAAGAGAAATCGAGAATGGCTAATGTGCACACAAATTTTGTAGTCAACAAATAAGAACAAAATACAGAGCAAAAATAATATTTTATTAATTTAAAAAAATTAGTACAATCTTCTGTAATATTTTTTACAAAGAATAAAGTCGATGATGTACTTATTGTTGATCACCGAGAGTTTCTGTATTTTTCTCTTAAATTCGGGAAATCTGAATTCTGAATTTGTGTCCCTTCTTTCTTCCTGCAGGCCTCTATTTATAGGTTTCTTCGATTAACAGGATGATGACACTTGTCATTTTCTAATAAGGATAAAATTATAACTGGGCCGGGCTGGTCATATTATGATAATTATCCTAAAATATAATTATTTCAAATATATTTTATTAGGAATAATTATCTTTTCATTTAATCATCTGGGCTGGGCTAATTAAATAATTTAACTGGACCAAGTATGGGCTAATTAAATAACTTAATTAAACAACTTAATTAAATCTTAGATCCATATTTAATGGGTTAATTTGTCAATACCAAAGTCCATTAAAAATTTAGTGTCTACAAATTGTCCCTACTTCGAGTCCTATGTTTGACATAACTTGTCTTATTTTTCAAGTAAGACTTGAAGTATCTAACTTAGTCTTTGATTTGTAAAATGCTTTCTTATCCAATTTTGGATTATAAGATTTCCTTTTTCCTTCTTCAATCTAACTTTGGATTAGAATTTTACTTTCTAATTTGAACTGAATTATACAAATTCTAATAAATTAAGAGGTATTTTGTTGTCTATATACACCACCCATGCCATAAGATTTGACATAAATTCCAATATCATGTCTGAAGAGTTGTTAGATTGCAGCCCTTGCCTCAAGCAATAGAAGAAGAA